GCGACCGATTTGATAGGTACGGCTGCCCATAGTTAATCGTGTATCATTGTAGCAACGTTTCATATCGATTTTACTTCATAAATGAAGCGATAAGAGTACCAGCGTCGATGTGATTGTCCGTCCATTCGTGGGCGGGAAGGGTGCAGTGGGCGTTCAAGTTAGAATGTTGCACCTTGGTTAGGTGCCCTAATGGCACCATACAGCCTCTGGTCGGGATCACAATATTCCTCTGTCCTAGGTGTATTTACCCTATACGCCTTGCCTATTTATCGCGCCACTTGCCATCAATAAAAAAATACGCTGTGGCGAAGGATATACGCACCCAGGAGATATAGAAAGTATAAACCATCAAGTTTATGCAGTCAGACGCTGGTGTAATTGGGAGGGTAGAGGCGGTAACCCGCAAGACGATACCACACCTTATTTCTTTTCGTCTGCGCCCTACCGAGAAGATGGTGTCTGCCAGGTGACCCTCCATCTGACAGGCTTATTCTAAGAGAAAGCAGACAAGCAGAAATGGAGAGAAAATCGTTTGCACTGCGAAACGACCACCTGCGAGCGAGTTTTCCGCGAAAGTATTTCTTTGGAAAAATTAGATGGCTCATTCGCAAACTCCACGATCGATATGGGTTTCAATAAAGGTCCAAGGTGTTAAAGTTGATATTAAAAAGTAAACAGTTACCATAGAAATAGGAAAATCTTCTCATTGAACATGTTGATCATCAGCACGCATTGGACAGTATGGCGATGAACATTGCCTAAGACCTGAAACAAAAAAAATATTTGAATAAGAAGAAGGAGTATGTCAAGAACAAAGATTCCAATCTCGAGCAAACGCTCCTTTACTGCATTCGGTGGTAAATACGATTCGGAAAAAAATTCAGGTTTTTCTGAACCTTCTTCTGCGTTAGCCAGTTTTTGGAAAGCACGACACCAAAATATGAAAAGGGTGCAGGACACCGGAAAACACTTGCTGAAGCATAAGCTCGTCACTGACTAGGGGTGGTTCCCTGGTCCAAGTGGCCATTTTTTTGGTACCTAGACTTTCCGGGGCATTTTCTAGCCGATCTGCCTCCAAAATCTGCCGATGAAAAAAATCTGCCATACACTCCTTAGCCCTGAGACGGAGTAGGCGTGGCATTTGAGCATGGCTAGGATTACTCGTGGGATATTTCAGTTTGAGACAACTGCCATCTTGTTCTGTGTTGGACGAAGACATGATTACATTCGCCCAAGTTTGAAGATACCTCAGAAAGGCCTAGTCTCCGCCACGTTCAGTTCAAGTACGCAGCCACGCCTACCGCATCTCAGGGGTTCGAAGGTAGAAATAACCGCCAGACTGACACAGAGCACACATCGTTGGAAAATCCCTTTTGTGGATAGTACGTGTCGATGGGGAAGCAGGTTGTACCCGGAAAAATTTTTCTGGTTACTGATTTTTCCCCTTTCACGCGCGTTATATGCCGTCTAGCTGGCAACACCGCAAAGCCACTACACAGTTACTTCGGGAGATCTCTCCTTCCCCCGCCGCAATGGACGCTGTTTTTTTCGAGAAATAGCGAGAAAAGTTCTAGAGATAGTATGCAATTTGAAGAATAAGGCAAGGTGGTAGGCAGGCTGTGGGAAATCGCCCCCTTTCCACATATCGCTGTGCCCGGGTCTGGTAGCCAATTTTCTTTATTAGAGCCCAGAGCGATCGAAATGATGAACGACGTGCCATTCCGCCACAAAAAAAGTTATTGGCTACTTTGGCACGCGACAGACTAATATAAACTTCATCAGCCGCTAGTATGGCCTTGGCTCTGACAGCCTATGGTGGGGGTGAAAAGCGAAATTATGACTGGGTCTTTAGAATGATTGTTCCAACAAATGAGTTTCAAAATGGCAATATAAGCGGCGTTTGCGAAGGATTTCAATCCCTTCAACCTTCCAAATAACATTGAGGTTTCCGTAATCTCACCTCAGAAGACCGTTACTCGATAACCTAACTATCTACATGCTAGCCGTACATCCCAGGTTTCATATGATAAAAAGTTTGTCGCCACCGTAATCTCGAAATAATTCTATTTTGCATTCACATTACTCGCGCACGGATTACGGTAAATCTAGTAACTTGTGTTGAATTGAAGAAAGGGTAGAACCATAAGCGCACTTGATGCGGCATTGGACTTTCACAACGGATCTATACGTTCAACTCCACCCGGAAGGACTTTGCCTCACAAACGGATGAGGCTTCTCCCACTGAAAAACCCCTTTTCTGTATGCGGACCGCGGGCGCACATCGGCGACGGTGGGGCATTTTGCACTTTCGTTGCTTCAGCAGAACCTGTCGAATTTTGTGGAGCTGGAGCAAGCTCGTCAAGCCATCATGGTAAAACCTGTCAACTCGAGAAGAGGCTGTCTAGATGGGTCGACACGTCGATGGGAAGTATCAAAAGTGCAAAATGCCCCCCCCCCCGTCGCCGAACTGCGCCCGACCCGCGTTTTACTTCCATTTAAAATCGTAGGATTCAATGAATGCGATATAGCCTACAATTACTTGCGAGACTACTCGATGTGCAATTCAGCATTTTTATCTCCAAGACGAGGCTGCTTCTACCGAGGGTAGAAATATTAGTTGGCGAGGGCGGGCGCCGAGCCCCCTACTCATCCCCTGCTGTATCAGAAATGACCACCCTTTTGGCATGTGCAGTTTTTTTGCTACTTGAAAGAACTACATTCATCTGGTGTAGGTTGGTACTAGGTTAGCACAAGAGTATCGAGACAAAGCAAGGCCAACGGGGCTCATATGGCTCCAGACTTCACGTCTGGTCCCAGTGTCAGCTCCTTAAACTCGCAGTTATCATAGAGAAACAGAATAAAAAGAGAAACAAACGACACACGGTAGTTGCTGGTAAAGCCTAAAACGAAGAAGTAGTTAATGTATTCCTCAGCGTTATTTACATTTAGGCGGAGAAGGTGACAAGTGGCGCGCTTACCACTCGCGCGGTCCTGGGTTCAAATCCCAGGTCGACTCCCGCCCAGGCCAACCAAGCCTTCTACCCTCCGGGGACGGTAAATTGGTACCAGATTCGTCTGGGAGGATAAAACACTGACTTGTACATCGGCTGGCCCCGCAAGTCATTGTATAGGCCACATCGCATTCAATAAGCCACTACGATTCTGAATGGAAGTAGAATGCGTGCCGCATCCCACAAAGGGATTGATCAACGGCGAAGACTTTATCCTCCACCCTTACATCCTTATTTAATATTTGCTGCACCACTGTCCTGGTTTCAAACGTAATTCCGAACGAATTTTCTGGTGGTGGATTGAACCAAAATTTCATCGTCTGTGCCAGTTTCACTCACGAATTTGGCACTCAGGTAGTACGATAACGCTTGGCGAACTAGCCAAAGGCTTTGGACCCTGTGGACCATTTTTGGCGCCGAAGCCATAGAAAAGTATCAGGCGTTTTCACGTCAAACAAGGAGCAGGTACAAAGTGTCATGCTCGTGTTCAGGGCTTAAGCTACCTTGGGGACAATGTTTCAGCAACCGTGGTGATTTCAGGCGCTTTTCCATCGGCGCCGAGGGAGTGGGCACCATTCGCTTTTTCACACCAAGTGCATGCGATATTCGTATCTACGAGGTCGAAATACCCCTCGGCGGCGAAATTCTAGCCAAATCTACAACCAGTGAAAAATATCGATCAAAATTTGGCTAGATTTTTACGAAGTGGAGCAGTTGCGGGTAAATAAAGCCAACTTTATGAAGGGTAGTAGAAAGTTGTCACTTGTTATTAAGAAATTTAAAATGAATAGTAGAGCAGGGTAGCATTAAAAATAATGTGTTAAAATTGATTAATCAATACGAGTGTAGTACAAGGTGCAAAGCATATCCTTCACTCAAATTGCTTTCATTTGAGAAAACTGCGAAGTAAAGTGCAATGAATAGGAATGGTGGGATACTGGTGAATAATTTACTCTGTGAAACGTACTTTCACTTCAAAGTCGCAAAGTGTGACTCTTGGAAAATGTCCCGATTCTTCCCATTCACGTCCATTCATCAGATCGTTGAGCACCTTAATGAACCACATTCACCACAAAAGCTCATTTGAAATAATTCGCTTTGCTCTGTTCGTGAGCGAGGAAAAAAATCGATGAAATTAGCTAGGAACCGCTAGTTAAGCGAGAAAATGGGCTTAAAGCCCATTGTGTTCGGGAATGTTCTAGAGCTTCTCTGATTGGAAAGAGTCGAGAAGAACGTATGTAGTTCAGCTGCAATGCTTCACTAACAAAAAACTACGTGTAGTGTGATACATTGTGAAGTATAACTGCTTTGAAACGAGCTACAATTTCTTTAGAGAATCTATCACCCATAGGGGCTACAAATGAGGGGCGAGTACGATCCAATCATTCTTAGCGAACTAGAGACTTTTCCGTTTTTTTGTGAAATTCTCGCTTTTATCCTAAAGAACTGCCGTCTACGGGTGGGGGACCTGAAAAGAACAAGCTCTACCCTAGAAAATTCAGAATACAGGCTACTTTGCGCTAAACGGGCCAGAAATTCGGAAACTACGGATAGGCCATAGGGTGCTTATATGGGAAATAGGGCACATCGCGCTGTTAGGGAAAGATCGCGAAATACGACCCCTACCCCTCAAAATTTCCTCCTCTGGCCCGACCCAGCCCTTCACCATGTTTCCAAGTTGTCCTAACTACCTCGCTTGCCACCACTTTTCCGAAGTTTTTTTTTCAAAATTCTCCTTTTTCCCCAAAGAGATGTCAAAGGGCGGGAGATCCAAAAGGACCAAGGCTCACTGCGACAAGTCAGAATACAGGGTACTGAGCGCTAAGCTGACCTGAAATTGGGAAATACATTGTTCAAGCCAGGAACGTAATCAAATACTTATAAGATGCAGTGTGCAAGGCGCATCCCAAAGGAATTTTTAGCAAGTATTATGACTATAGATTACAGCTGCATGAGTACTCCGGGCATGGTCTTTTGAGGAGCCCTGTGCAGAGCACATCGAGAGTTGGGCATTTTGTGAGTCCGCACGAGCCTCACTAGGGGCTTGATACGACCCCCACCGCCTCCCTCTCCACTCCGCTCTTCTGAAATGATCGAGCTGTCGAATACTGGGTGGAGTTATAGCACGTGTGAAACCGGAAAAACTGGGAAAAGACAACAACCTGGAAAAAATTTCTCCTAAAGCCTCAAATCCCTCTCAGAGAGCAGATACGACCCCCTCTCCTTATAGCGTCCGCGAAACAAGAAAAATCGACTATTCAAAAAAATTTTCTCAGACCAAATGCGACCCTTCCCTACCGCCAGCGACCAAATACGACCCCTTGTTGGGAATCCTATTGTCCCGTTGGGAAAAAATAATGTGCCGTCCCTGTGTGGCTTTGCAGGATTCCCTAGAGGATATGAAGCGCTGTGTTCTGTTCGATGGGAGGAGGCGACTGAGTCGTATTAAATCTAATCCAGTGTCTCATTATGTATAATTTTGAATTATTCACGTATACATGCTGCATATGCATGTTTTTGGAGCGAACAGAAAAAACTTCCAAGACGATGACGTCATTTCAATTACGTATATTATACGAAGAAAAATATGATTCTCAACATCATTTTCTCAAGCAAATTGCTGTTTTCTTCTTAATTTACGACAGTGGGTAAGCTAAGAATCGAACCGGTCAAAATTACATTTCAGTCAACGACGTCATATTGAAAAATGTATAACTCATTATTTAATTGTAATATCTGCGATATGCTGGCATAGGGGGGTAATTTTTAACTAGCGAAAATTTCTTTTGCTTGGAATCAGGTTTGCTAAGCAGCGCTTCGCCGCAATACCGTGAAAATTCGGCCCAGAAATACCACCGCGATAGGTGATTCCTCATAGAGGCGAAAGGGGGACGTGATGGGGTGTCTTTGGTAATTGAGCTTCCTGGCCTGGCCTTCGATCTATCAGTTTACCCAAATTGTTGTTGACTATTACGTCTGTCCAACATTGCACACCCCTGCCTCACTTGACTCACTGGAAATTGAGTACAGGGCACGGATTGCCTTGAGAATATTTTTGCAAGATGCGACCCCCCCCTTTGGCATTTCCTCCTCTGTTACAACTTACTCCTACCTGCGATTTTCCAGAATTTTCTCCCAGCTACGTACTACTCTCTCTCAAATTTTTTTCCATAAATTCTCCTTTTCTGCTCAAAAAGCCGTCGTGGAGCGGGGAAAGGGAAGGTATGAATGGCACAAAGAAATTAGAAAAACCTATAGCAGTGAACAATCAAAAACCTCTTCCCAAAAGCAAATACAACCAGCTCGCTGGGAATCCCCAATGTACGAAGTGCCCTGCGGGGAGGTCGTAATTTAGAACATTTTTCCCCACCGGGATGAATGCTGCCCTATCGCAATCAGGGCAAATTGATATCGTGGTGATTTCGTCGAGCCCAGACCGACCTGCCCTAAAATTCGCGTTGTGGCAACCCACCTACTAAACTTCCTCTGGTAGAGCGAGCCTGAGTAGCCGAGCGGGGGAGGGTGGGTGACTGGCATAGAAACGGGAAAAAAACTGCGAAAAAAAGTCAACAACCAAGAAAAAAATTTATCAACGTACGCCGCAAGTTTCTCTCAGAGCGCAAATACGACCCCACTTCTCACCCAGAAACAAGCAGATACGACCTCCCCCCCCTCGCTTATAGCGTCTGTAAAACTGTAAGGGTAGAAGCTCATGGACTTCTTCTGCCTTTAGCCTGTTATCCGTTACACCCTTCTCATAGAAAATGATCCACTCTACATCTGTTGTGCACGCTTCACTCACTAACAAGAAAAATCAACCACCAAAAATAATTCCCTGAGACCAAATACGACTCCCTGTCCCCTCAACATACGACCTCCCCTGCAGTCGGGAATCCCCAATGATGATGTGCCCTGCCTGCAACCAGGCCTCCAGGCTCGGATAATTGACGCTATGCTAGTCTGAGAAGGTAGAATTGATTTTATCTTTATCTGGCTACCATAAAATTTTGCCTGGGTGAAAGCCCGGGTATAGGCTTTTGCCTTGTAATACATAATGAGACTCTGTGGTCTGCCTCATACCAGCACAGTTGCGATGCGTTATTATATCATTCAAATAGTGTTTTATTAATAATAAATTAAAATGTCCTACCTGCAATCCATACCACTTGCTTCGATTTCCGAGGAAAGTATTAAGTAGGAATATTTGGCCGACAATATTAACCGTATAAAGGATTTTCACAGAGATATAGAGGAATGTGACGGCAGCACCAGATGAACGTGTACAAATGATGAGATTTAGTAGCTTTAATCGATTGCCACTCATCTGAAAACAACCACATATTGACTTCACAAGAACTAATCTTCTTTCTCCATGAGAGAAGCGCTCTGTGAACTGCAGATAAGCCTTCAAGTTTTTCCCCTTCTAGACAGGCCCGAAGAACTTCAAATAACCCTTCGATTGACACTTCGTATGCCCTAAGGCTGCACTTCCATGGGAAGGATACCCTTTTTGTCCTGCTATGAGACTTGCCGGGGAAGCTCAGGCTATATTGAATCTAGACCGAATTTGCTGAGCAATGCATCGACCTTAGAAAAACGACACTGAAGCATCGAAAAGTAAATCTCTTAATTATAACACAGTACATTGGAGGGTGAAAAAAGACTTGGCTGACCAAAGACCACGGTCAAGGGTAAAGCACACAATGCAGCGGCGACAAGGACCGAAATGCTTGTAATTTTATATCACTGGAAGACGATGTTGTCACTTATTCGTTCGTACCCAGGAGAGCGTGGTGGTCAGGAGATCCGACTTATGGTCGGGCGGCGAGGACGAAGTTGAAAACGGGCGTTCATGACTGGCATGCGCATAAGGACCTCACTGCGTTCAATTGCTACAGAAAGCCGAGTGATGTGGCTAGGAGTCAAGCCGCGAGCTTCATTCTTGGTGCCGTCAAAAATCGGATTTCTTGACCCGCACCCAGCGGGTGCGAGCAAGCTGCACAGCCTTGCAGTTTGATATATGGCGATATGTCAAAGTGAGGAATAAGTCAAGCGGGTCTAAGGAAATGAAAGAAAAGGAAGCAGCATACAATTCTTCTCACCCACAGCTGCCGAAATATTGCTGTTATGAAAATTTTCGGACCAGCTTTTCAGAAAGGTCGTTTGAATTTTTCTATAATGGGCATAAACAGCAAGATAAAAATTCCGCCATTTTTCGCTAAACTTCTTAAGGAGCCTAGTAGAGTCGATAACATCGCAATCAGTAGGGGCGGTCTCAAGAGGGATGGAATGAACCCAAGCGCGACGTTTACACCAATGGTTGTTTTCTCCCTAAACTGATTACTGGACGAACACTATTGGTAGAGCAAGGCAGCCGGGGCGGGCGCATTCCGCCTCCTCTTGCCACCGTCCCGACTGATTGTGACGTCACCAACTACAGAAACCACATTTTGGTTTCAGCTTTACTTAGAATTCTCAAGAGTCTAGAAATATGAGTCATAAAAAAAAATCTACAAAATTTTAGATAGAAGTGCTACAACCAACAAACGTTTTTTGAATTTCTTCATCTCAAATAGCTTCCCTTTTTTCAGTTTGGAAACATTTTACAGCTCTCGAATAGTGCTAACAATACTGCTCAGAAGGTTGCACACGAAAAGCTAAAAAAGCCTAAAACACAGCTTCATTCTCCGGATGTCCGACAAAAGCTGTCCGAGAGTCATATTGTATGTCTGACGTCTTGCCTCATTTTGACTGACGGAAAAGCTCTGAGACCATGGGAATAACAAGAAAAGATTCGGCAAAAATTGACCAGGAAAAATTCACGACCTATATGAAGCACTAAATTGTCAAGTTTTCAGGAAATTTCTATCAATTTGCAACACCGCACCACGATTTTGCCAATTACGAAAAGAATTTCCAACTCTAACGGTGCCAGGAAGCCGTGTGAAACTTCAAGGCTTCCTCTAGCGCTAGTGTGAAAGATACACTATGATACACTATGAGTTGTTGGCTCGTATTCATTACTTGGTATTACTATTTCCTCCGCTCTACAGTGCCGTTACGGCA